CCCCCCCCCCCCCCCGCCTCCCCCTCCCAGGTTCCCAATTTGCACTGTTCTGCTCTTACACATATGTTGTGTTACAATATCTTTCTGCTGCTTATAACTCTGCAATGCATTCGGGCACATTACTAATGACTTATTACATGTATATCTCAAATAGTGAAGCCAGAAATACTTGAACCAGAAGATGGCTACGAAACGCCAGTAAAGGAAATAGGCGCACCACTGAATGTTACCTGTAGGGCAGACGGCAATCCACTTCCTAATGTTACGTGGCTGAAGAACAGCACAGGAGAGATGTTTGAAACAAAGCAAGGCTCGCAGCAGCTGATCAGGTCACTAGGGGAAGATGACTTTGGTATTTACACATGTATTGCTCGTAATCACTTGGGGAGACGAGAAGTTTCAATAAAAGTGGTAAAAGGTTAGTTTGGATCTACATTGTTGTTTTGTTCAATTAGTCTTTTTCAGGTGTTCGCAGGGTTGCCATAGGTCAGGAAATGGTCAGGGAGAGAAAAATCTTTCAAGGACCTTTTTCAGGAAAATTAGTTTTACTTTAAGTCGGGGAATATTGACATTTTGAAGAAAAATCAGGGAAAATTGAAATAATTTAACACGGCTGATTCAATACCATTGAATGCTGGAAGAAACATTTGGGGTTACTGTGATCTCGACGACATTTTCACCTAATGAAGAAGGAAAATTTGTTGAAACCGTATCCGTCTTAACGAACGATTAGAAAGGACAGCTGTAAGTTCACGCTAGAAGCCGCTACTTGGTCAAGGAAATTTTTTCTTATGAGGGAAAAGTCAGGGAATTTTGAAAAGTGGCAACCATGGCAACCATGTTTCGGTTGGTTGTTGTTATTGCTACTTTCTTTTGGGGGGGGGGGTTGGGCGGAGGAAGACAGGAAAGCGAAAGTTCTTTCACTCTTCACCACAAGTCTCTCTCTTGTTTTTCTCTCGCCATTTTTCGCGCTGCTCCCGAACTGAACTCATAGAACACCCAAGAGTGAATGTAATGATGGCCCTCGTCACTTCCTCACACTTGGAAAGTGGACTTAGGAAAGACATTCACGACACTCGTCATGGCACACAAATCGAGAAAAAATCTAAGTTCACATAATGAGAGTTGAACTGCCCGCTAGTTATATCTTGTACGACAAAGCCATGGTACCTGTGAAAGAACTATGGCTTTCTGTGCTAACATTATAGGCAGGGAATTCGCTTGAGTAGTATAGGCGGGAGATATAGGAGGTTACCAATCAGATTGCAGCATGTTTGTCACATGATTCAAATGGACCAAAGCACTTTACCTGTACATGTATGTAGCTATAGTCATTTGCATGTTTTTTTTGTGCTTTTGATGGCGCATAATTGGTGTATGCAGTTATATGTCCTTGCATAGTTCAATGTGATAACATCATGGCTTGCTTTCTTTCTTGTTTAGTAGGATCAACTGCAGGTCGAAATTCTGATGACCCGTCACTGAGTACAGGTGCCCTGGTGGGAATCTCCATCGGTGTGGGTGTTGTGGTGCTTGTGGTGTTGATAATTTGCTTGGTGGTGTATCGCCGACAGAAGAAGCAGATCGATGAGTATAAGGAAATATACTTCCTGAGGCAATCAGACTACCAGGTATTTTGCGAGGAAACTTGTAATTTGACTAACTGCACATTTATGAGTTTCTAGTTCATCATCAGTTCCATTTCCCTGTATGGAGAGTCCGACCAGAAATTTCACTTCTCCAAGACACTCTGTCAGCTGCCGCTAGCCCTGCCTCTACCCAAGAACAGTAACACATCGCCATTCGCTCTTTCTCCACTGTCCTACACCATGTTTCTCTGGGCCATCTTCTCTTGGACTTTCCTTGCGATGCTCGCGTCAATTTCTAGTTACCGATGGATAATAAAATGTATGCAATTTTGTTTGCTGGCTGTATGCACAAACGTGTTCTTACGAAAAAATCTTGATGTACGATGTATATGGAAACTTGTGACCTGGCTACAACGGAAAAACATTGGGTTTTTTGGGAACACGAAAGACCTTTTGAATTTGTGAGCATAATCATATAAAGCACTGTTCATAGAGTGGCAAATGAAGAAATATATAAAAACAATGTATATTTAGTACTCGTGTTGGAAAATTAAGTAATTACATACATGTATAGTCTCGAAATAAGAAATCCAAAGGTTAACCCATACACTCGTGTGCGCCATCTCTTCTCACTCTATTCTCGCACGAGAACATATGGACTAAGAATTAGACCTGCTTCCAACGTGATGGCTTCAAGGTTTGGTTGATAGAGCATCGTACAAGTACATGTGCATAAGGAGCTTTAGCCAAAAAAAATTATGACTGAGGCAATGTCCATTATTAAATTCTCCCTCTTTGTATTTAGGTTGTTTATGTTGGCTATAAAGAACAAAAACAAAAAACAAAAGACTGAGACAATTGTCTCGGTTTACCTGTTACTAGCTCATCCCTGGACATGCAGTACAGACTTCGTGGGTTGAAATCCTGTCGAAGCCCCAAGGCTCCTTTGAAGTTAGGCTAAAGACTCTGTTGAGTCCATTTTGTTCTTCTCACACAGTATTGCTTTACAACCTGAACTCTTGGAATGCTCTTTGTTTAGCTAATTCTACAGCAAGATAACGATTCTTTTGTGTTCAGATTGACCCAGATCGCAGCCTCTTGGAACAATGTAACGATCTCCCGTACGATGCAGACTGGGAGTTCCCAGAGGAGAGACTCATCCTGGGGGATGTACTCGGCGCTGGAGCCTTCGGACAGGTCGTCCGAGCGGAAGCTATCGGCATCCTAGCCCTCAATCCGCGAGACAAGAGTGCAGAATCCTTCAAACGGCGCTCAAAGATCCGCCGGTCCTCAAGAGCCAAGGACCTCAAGAAGGAAGATATTGGTGGGGGATGGAAAAACATCAAGGTGCCTGTCGCAGTGAAAACCTTGAAAGGTGAGTGTCAGTGTTTGGGATGTTAAGGCTCCCTGTTATATGTAACTTGTAAGTTCAAGAATGTTGCCTTCATTGCGCAGAATGCCAGGACAGCGTTAATTATTCATAACCGACGAAGCGGTGATTTCGAATGCGAACGCGTGTTGAAAAGGTCAAAATAAGAGAAGAAAGGCCCAAATTGGAACGTTTTGTTGACAAAAATCCCATTTCAGATTTCCAGAAGTTCTGACGGAGTCTTCAGCAAACGGCTTTTGGAAGAATTATGATTGTTAATTAAACTACGATTTGAGCCTGAAACGAAAGATATTGGTGAAGTATAAAGACTATCCCTTTGCAGTTAAAAACACAGCAACATCGTACCTTTTTAATATGGAGGCCGTTTTCAATATCGATTTATTGCAAAATCGAATGCCTAATGAATTAAGTCCCTGCGTGAAGAGTGCAACTGGTCATAATATTTTTTCTCCAACGTATCGTATTGGAAAGGAAGTACATGCTAGTACTGCAGCTTTTTTTCCATCAATCAAGCGTATTCTACAACGACTTGTATTCTACAATTATTTGACTACGGAGGCCCCGTCCACACTAAGGCAGAGGAATTTGAAAACGGAGCTTTATTTCTCCGGTTAGGTCTACCGTCCACACTAATCCGTCAAGAAAACGGAGCTTTTGGAAAACGCTCTTCAAACTGGAGGAATTTGAAAACGCCGGCTTTGCGATTTATTGGGGACAGAAAACATTTTGAAAACGAATCTTTTCGAAAACGATGAGGATGCGATAATCATGATATTTCCTGTGCCCGAGTTTTATCCCAACACAAATCCAAAATGACCGGTTATTAATGCGTTTTCAAATTCCTCCGCCGTAGTGTGGAAGGGAAACATTTGATGCGTTTTTAGAGTGAAGCCTCCGTTTTCAAATTTCCGTTTTCGATTTGCCACAAGTAGCACTTTTCTTTCTTCAGTTACTTTCTCTCTTAATATTTTGAGCTTTCTTTCTCCCTTTCAGAGGGCGCTACTGCCAAAATGACCGGTTATTGATGCGTTTTCAAATTCCTCCGCGGTAGTGTGGAAGAGAAACATTTGATGCGTTTTTAGAGTGAAGCCTCCGTTTTCAAATTTCCGTTTTCGATTTGGCACAAGTAGCACTTTTCTTTCGTCAATTACTTTCTATCTTAATATTTTGAGCTTTCCTTTTCCCTTTCAGAGGGCGCTACTGCCAAAATGACCGGTTATTAATGCGTTTCAAATTCCTCCGGCGTAGTGTGGACGGAAAACATTTGATGCGTTTCCAGAGTGAAAACTCCGTTTTCAAATTTCCGTTTTCGATTTGACAAAAGTAGCACTTTTCTTTCGACGATAACTTTATCTCCTAATCTTTTGAACTGTCCTTTTCCCTTTCAGAGGGTGCTACGGAAGCAGAGTACAAGGACTTAGCCTCGGAACTCAAGATTCTGATCCACCTTGGCCAGCACAAGAACATCATCAATCTGCTGGGAGCCTGCACGCGGGGAAAGCGACTGATGGTCATCATGGAATTTGCCCCTCATGGCAGCTTGCTGTCTTTTCTTCGGACAAAGAGGGACATTTACGAACCCGACTGGACCAAGACAACAAACGATCCGGACAAAGAGTTCACATTAGTTGATCTGGTGATGATCGGTTATCAAGTTAGCCGAGGCATGGCATTCCTGGCATCCAAGAAGGCAAGTAACAAGTTGCAAGTCGCTTGCGAAGATTTTGGGCAGCGTTGATGTACATAACATCGTTCTGTTGGTTTTCTAATCTCTCAGCGGATCCAAAAGCTGACAAGCGCGTGAAACATGGACATAACATTGGAAAGTCGATAATGTCTGATTTGGTCAAAGCGGTACTGTGAGACATGTTTCACTGCAGTGGTAGCTCGGAGTAAATCAAGACAGTATAATATGACTTACATGTAGCAAGTTTTGAAGAGGAGGTCGAAGAAGTTGAATCTGTGTATAATGTGATTTCTTTTTTTCGTCTTCTAATTTGGTATCTTGCCTTGCTTTCAGTGTTTGGGTAGCCCTGTCTTTGTCTCGAGAGAACGTTTTGCTCTTAAGGAGTCTCCACGTAGAAATTCACTCACTCCGGATTTGATCTGGATACTCAATAGTTACAGCGCTGTAGAACCATGTTACTTGCTAGTTTTACTCCCCTGAGCCTAGAAAGGCTTTATGCAATTTCTCCACACAAGACATGAAGACCAGGACCAGCACCAGTTAGGAGAATTTGATTATTGTATTTGTACTGACATAAACTGCGCATCTTCCTCTTCAGTGTGTTCATAGAGACTTGGCTGCAAGGAACATTTTGGTCGGGGACGATTTTGTGATGAAGATAGCTGACTTTGGTTTGGCGAGAGACATCTACAAAGATGATCTTTATGTGAAGAAGACGCAAGGTTTGCTTCCTGTGAAATGGATGGCTCCCGAATCACTCTTTGACAGAGTTTATACAGAGAAAACTGATGTGTAAGTTTTCTAGTTCAGTTCTTTTAAAAAGCGTGCAGTTGTCTCCATTAAGGTAACTGTAGACCTTCTGGGGTGCCTTCCGGAAAATGCGTTCTTTGCGCGCTGCTTTAAAGAAAACCTCGTTAAACTATATATCAATGGAAAGCTAATAAATTGTAAATTCCGAAAATAACAAAATATTTTGCCAGTTTTGTTTTGGTGGGCCGCGAGTTTTCGAAACATTTCCTTGCGATTTGCGCTTGCGTTCAAATTTGGTAACTCGAAGACGTGCAAAATCGCTAGGGCTATCGCTTGGTCAATCAACAAAAGCGAAGATTTCTTAAAACAAAGGAAATCAAGACCGTGACGGCGTTTGGATATCTGATCTTAATTAGCGTAGATTTTGACAACTTTACTTCTCCGTTTTCTCCTTAGTTTTAGTTTCGATTGAGAAGACATACCAAATACTCAAGTCCGTGTTTGACCACATTTCAAAGGACCTCAAAGTTCGTCAAAAATACTCCGCTGCGCGTCGTATTTTCAACTCTCTTCTCCGTGTTTGGAAATGTTGTCAAACACGGTCTTTCGTGTTTGTATATTACTTATATTACTTTTTTTCACGTTACCAGATGGTCGTTTGGCATCTTGCTGTGGGAGGCATTTACTCTTGGAGGTACCCCCTACCCTGGCCTGCCCACAGAGCAGCTGCTTGACTACCTGAGTGATGGAAAGCGGATGGAGAACCCAGCCAAGTGTCCGTTGGAAGTGTACACTCTCATGAGGGACTGCTGGGTTCACGAACCGGACCAGCGACCCCACTTTACGGCCCTGAACGAACGGCTGGGCAAAATCTTGGAGCGAAACATGAAAACGGTACAGGGCTATCTTGCTTTTGTTTCTCTGTGTAACGTCGTCCGACTGACCCAAAAGTCTTGCTCCTGACATTCTTTTAAGAACGTAATATTTTTTTATTATTTTTAGTCTGAAACTTAAACATTGTTTTTGCAGTTTACGATTTCTACTACAGTTCACTTCCATGTTGATTTTATTTCTTCGTCTTGTTGTTTCCAGTCCAATCTCGTCTTTTGTTTTTGGCGTTTATGTTTTCACTCCGACAGAAAGAAAGATTCAAGGTAAGAAAATGTCTTGGAATTCGACCTAATGTCTTTGTATGTCTGTCTTTGGTACAGGACAATCCATACCTAGCGCTTCAGATGGATGACGATGATGGAGCTGCCAGTCAGGGCTACTATCTCCAACCATGTGATTCTGGCCTTAGGGACTCCAAGAGGTATGTGGAGTCGCCTGTCCATTCTCCGTCAAGCGAGGTTCCGAACGCAGTCGGCGAAGGCGAAGGAATAAGGTATGCCTATAGGGTTTAAAACTCAGTCGGTCACTCTAGTCCATCGTAGTAGCCGCTAGGAACTCGAAGATGCAATTAGATCTCGAAGCAATGACACGTGACTAGCTTCAAGCGCGGGAAAACGGGTTCAACCGGCTCAACCTGATTGGCTTAGCATATGATTGGTTGAGATAGTAGTTGTGCAACCTGTTAAGGCCAATCAGATTTCAAAGTCAAGCAAACCACTGATAACAAACGGATATTAAATTCAAACCGCTTCTATGGTTTATCTTCTAGTTCTTAATATTTCGTTGGGGTGTTTCCGTTTCTTGTGCCTGAGCAGACGTAATTACACTGCATGATTCAACAACAAGTACTCATATTTACCAAATCAGTGGAAACAGTCACCCTCAGTGACGACAGCAATTCTTCCGTGACTTGGCTTTCTTGCGTTCCTTAATCCCACACAGAGACAAAAAAAAATCTTGTGAGTGCATAATTCGCTTGTTAGCAGGTTGTATCGGGGCTGAAATCCTCAATGCTGTTTATTTCACCGTTAGGAAATGTGACAATTACGGTGGCAGCTTTGCCAACTAGTTCTTTTTGCTTGTCTTCAGGTACGATTCTCCTTTACCCGCCTTGCCACCAGGCCTGGCCATCATCAGCGACGAGGACATTCAGAACTCACCCCTGCCTCCCATCCCTCCCTCCTACGAAGACGCCATGAGTGACGAAGGGGAAGCAAAACCGAGGACTTCTGGAAGCACCAACAGTGCGGCGGGGGAGAGTGGTATTGACGTAGACGGAGAGGACGACGGAGGTGATTACGTTGACGATTCACGAGTCGATTCCCCATTCCTCCCCCGTGAGGGGAATAAACCGGTTGCCATAGCGATGAGTGGTGCTGCCAAGGTTCCCGAAGCGGAAGTGTTGATCAAGGGACAGAAGAAAAAAATTGAAACAGCACTTTAAGGTGTTGTTTACCCCCGCGATTCAAATTCAATTTGACAAGCTGCTGAATTATATTTAAAAAGGCTAAGGAGAAAGCTAACAGCACTGCCATTTCCATTCGGCTAGGGAATCACGTGCAAGACCGTAATAACGGTAGAGAATAATTATTCTGCAAGGTGAATGTAACCAACTCTAGCAGCTACTACAGTAAAGAACAATGTCACGCTCCGTAGTTCGTGACGACACAGCAATAACGTCACGCAACACCTTGTGCAATTCTTTGCACTTTTTCTATGAACACAGCCACAGCGAAACTGCAGAGTATACGAACATGTATATTCTCGTATCGTTCTGTAATAATTTAAGGGGCGTACAAGAGCATTGTACATAGTTATTTAAAACTCTGTATCCGAACGCTTAGGTAGTTTTTAATACTAAAAGTATTTGCAAATCCAAATCCTGTAGTTAAAGCCGTAATATTGTTCTTTTTAAACAGTATCTTTTGATCCAATTCTGCTATATTAAATATAATTTAAGTCGATATTTTACCCTAATTGGTCTCATGATATTAGCTGTACAATATTGTATCAGTAACCCTGACACAAATTTTAGTCATAAAAGTAAGAGAGGTTCTTTGGCTTACTAAACCACTCTGGGTGTTTAAATTGCACCCGAATAGGTTCTTTAGGTTCAGTATGACAATCTGGTTGTGTTCTTCTGCAAGCCTGAAGTTTCAAGACTCCAGTATTTCATCCAAAAAGAAATGTACGAGTTCAGTTTTTACGTATGCATTTTAACGAGAACTAAAGACTGATCTTTCGACATAATGTAATCTAAATATCAGTATGTTATTAGACCTTTTTATGTAGCTAGCATTTTAACACAGTTTTTAAATTACTTCACATCACATAATGACCCACTATTTAACAAATGACTGGTGCGTTTTAGTCGTTTTGTTAAATACGATTTTAATTTAGACTTTAAACTAATGATAATATGGGTAATGTAAAAAATAAAGAATCATTTTACAAATAAACTCGGAATGTTTCTTGCTTGGGAGTGCATCCTGGTCATGTTGTAGGTGGCACGTCTCTTAGTTCTTCGTTATTAGTCATCCGGAAGGGTCCATGCTGGTCTACATGAAGTGAAAGGTAAGGTGAGGTGAAGTCTGCATACAAGTTGAGAGGCCCATCAGGCCGGAGCTTATCCCGGTTTGTTTAGCATGAAACGACTAGGAGTATTTCTACTGTATTTCTCAAACTCGCGAACCCTCGCTCGATCCGAACCAAATTTGAATCGCCGTGTTGAGTGAATGGTTTGATAAACCACCTGAGTTCATGGAGAGTGATTCCTCTCCGTTTTTCAAAGCTGGCATCCCTGAAGTTCATATTTTTGATCTGTCTGATACATATGGCGGGTTCGTGGATCCATCGTGGTCATTAGGGAGCTTAAGCAACGACGACGACGACTAGTAAAAAATGAATTTATATTTTACAAACGAAATTCGCGATTGTCTAGATCTGCTGGGTACGCCAATGGCTCTAAAAACGTGCGTAAGCTAGATATGCAACGACGGCGTCCAATTCCAACTGGAAATACGAAAAATTAGCCGTCGTCGTCCACGTTTCGTAGACGACGCAGAACTTGGACATTTCACGTTGTTGTTTTGCAGAGGACGGCAAAGAAATGTACAACGATTTATAACACACGTGCACAAATATTGTTTTGCTAATTAAACCTTTTGTTTTGTGACGTTCACGTTGTCGTCGTCGTCGTGGTTTGCTTAAGCTCCCTATTATATATCGGATCACGTCTAAACACACGTGAAGAAAGACTTGGGCAGGAAAAAAACGTGAGCGGACAAAACCGGGGAATGCCGATAAATCCAGTAATCCCGCAATGATGAACGAATTACACAACATGCACCTTCCTCTGCTTCTCCCCCTGAACCAAGTTCAGATCTACGAACTGAACTTGAAGATACCAAAGTGCCTACGAATGGATGTTGAGCGCGGTGAGCAGACGTAAATGTCTTGTTTACCCAATGAAAGCCATCACAATAAACTCTGAGCTTGCATCGAGATGCTTGTC